GCCCCGCCTCTCCCTGCTCGGCAGCCCGGGGAGGCGGGGAGCAGCTTTTCTCGCCCTGGAGTACACGGGTGGCGGGACCGCGAGGTCCCGCAGTCCGTGTACTCCGGGGCAGCCCCGTTCGTAACTGCGGAGCCAACATAAGTCGGATCCGCATAAGTCGGGGACTGCCTGTAGCATAGAAAGTACACTTATAAAAGTTACAGAGGATTCCAAGCTTGGAGGGTTTGCAGGCATTTTGGAGGACAGGATTAACATTTAAAATTATATTGACAAACTGGAAAAATGGTTCTGAATTAAATAGGATGAAATTCAATAAGGACAAATGCAAACTATTGCACTGTAGAAGGAATAATCAATTGCACAAACCCAGACTGTCTAGGAAGGAATACTGAAAAAATGATTTGGGGGTTACAGATCACAAACTAAGTATGAATAATATTATTGCAAAAAAATCATTCTAAGATGTTATTTAGCATGAGTGAAGTAAGCAAGACATGAAAAAGTAATTCTTCCTCTCTTCTTTGGACTAATAAGGCCTCAACCAAAGTACTGTGTCTGGTTCTGGGGACCACAGAAATGGATATATTGAAGGAAGTCCAAAGGAAAGCAGTAACCATTATTACAGTTCTAGAAAACATAACCCATGAGGAAACACTGAAAAAAATGTGTTTGTTTAGTCTGGAGAAGACTGATAGGGACAGAACAACAGTCTTCAAGTTATAAAGAGGAGGTGATTAAGGACAGGAATTGTGCTTCATGCACTTTGGTGAATTGAGGCACATATGCAATATCAGTGTTTCTTAAACTTTTTAAGACAGAGGAACACCAAACAATATTTTTTTTTAATGAGGAACACCAAGGAATTTTTTGTTGGGGGAGGGGGCAAGGTCAGGGGGGAAGTTACTGAGGAAAAAAGGTCGCTTGCCCCTTTAAGGGTGGCCATTTTGAACTCTGTTGTTCTCTGCAGCACACCTCCAACTGCCTCGTGGCACACCGGTGTGCCTCGGAACACAATTTAAGAAACACTGTGCTATAGTACAATAGAAATATGCAAATATTCAGAGTTCACTTTCAATCATTAGTCTTCCATTTAAACCTAATTCTAAAAATCTGTTTTTTCTGGAAAATATGAAGAACAAAATATTTCTCCTTACCTGTAATTGTTGATATTGTCTTACATTAGTTTTATCTAGGGATTTTGTTAAACCAGAATCATGCAGACTGTCCCCTAAAGCCCCTTCTGTTTCTTCAGTTTCCA